AAATGCTGAGTGAGAGGAGGGGAGGGAAAAAGAGAGGAGGGACGAGGGCGAAGAATGATCACATCAGTCGGAGCGCCCCGGATCGGCGGCACTGGCCGAAGGCCACTACAATATATACACATTATATTTGTTTGCACGTATTCGTAATAAACGAGCCTGTAATTTTCGTTTGAAGCTACCATGTCACGGGGGGGCCGGCCGAGAGAGGGAACGACAGGGAGATCGACCAGAGATGCTCGAGCGCACGGGTGCCAACACACACACACACAGACACGCACACACACAGAACAACACAAATGATTTTGTTTCGAGCGACCCCACCGAAAGCTTTGGCGTTTGACTCAGAAGGTGCGCGCGCTCATTGTAACGATGTGCGCTGCGCGGGGCGCGGTGATCTCGGCCAGTACGGTGGTCGGGCCATGTCGCAAGTTGTGTTGTGAGGTGTGGTGTTATGCGATGTTCTGTATGGCCAAGTCTGTCATAGTTCATGGTGTTTTGCTATGCTATGTTTCGCTATGTTATATCACATTATGCCGCGCTCTTTCATGCTCTGCTTTGTCATGGTATGTAATGGTATGTGATATGATGCTGTGATGTGATGATGTGCTATGTGCTGTGTCGTGTTATCCGATATGTCATAGCATACGTTGATGTACGGTGTTGTACTGTGTTCGATTATGAGTTGACTTGTTATGGTATGCTTGATGTGTCATGTATGGGATGAGATGTGCTATTGTGCATAGTTTGTATGCACTGCTCTGTCATGATGTATTATGTTACGATATGGACTGTCATGATATGGTATGTTGTGCTCGGATATGTTCTGTTCGGTGGTGTGGTGTTCGAGTCGGCGCGGGAAGCGAAACCCTGAGGGATTATCGGTGGACTTGGGGATCTGGCGGCCGCAGTATGCAGAGTGGGCGAGTCGGCGTGGGGGGCGGGTCCACCAGGGATTATCGAGAGCCTGGGGATCTGGCGGCCGCCGTATGAAGGGCGGGCGGGCCGGGAGATCTGTTCTTAAAATCAAGCGACCCCCACCTGTTGGGTGGCGAAAAAGCCTGGCAGGAAGACTGCGAGTCGCCAGAAATGGCCAAGACATGCGGCACGATCACTCCTGGATAAGGGGAAGAACTGGAGCAGCACGAGCGCGGCCCGACGCGGGCGCGGCCTGGTCCGGCCTCTTCTTGTTCATGTTGGCGGACCACATGTGCTCGGCCGCGGTGTCCCACTCCTCCTCGAAGTCGTCGCCACCGCCACCGTCACCGTCGAGGATCGAGGATCGAGTTTCAAGGGCCCGTTTGGGGCGGGGTCTTCGCAGGTTTCCGAATGCCTTCGAAAGCTTCCAGGTGGCTTTCGGGAGGCGTCTAAATGCAACCAGGAAGGGCGGGGGCGGGACAGAGGAGGAGAAGGAAGAGGAGGAGGAGGAGGAGGAAGGGGACAAGTGCAAACCCGAGACTCATCAACGATGTTGGGATCCACCCTCCCTCCAAGCTCCCTCTTCACAGGCCCCACATAAAGACTTATGTCCACTGAAGGATGTGCCACGCTGAGAGAAAACCGTGTGAAAATCCTGAAGCGCACCAAACACCAGTCACAGGACTTCAACGTCACGAGTGAACCTGACTGTTGGGTCTCGACAATCCTGAATCGTGTCAAAACACCATTCCTGGGACTTCAACACCGCGAACCAACATAACTGTTGCGTCCTGTTTCTGGAAGGTCAACCATGAGAATCCGCGAAACCCTGCGTTTGTTTAAAGAATGCGCACGGCGCTGAAAGAGAGAGACACATGTTGAAAACCAACGCGCCCTCATTCCGTGAAACTCTTGCAAACTATCAAGACAAATGCGCGCGGTGTTCAGGCGAGAACCATTTGTTGGAAAAGAACAGCCCTCCATCCGTGAATCCCTAGCAAACTGTTAAGACGAATGTGCGCGGCGCCAGAGCGAGAGCCACATGTTGCAAACGACCCGCCTCAATCCAGAAATCTATTGCAATGATTTAAACCCGAATGTGCGCGGCGCTAAAGCCCGAATCACAATTTGCAAACAGCACACCCTCTATCCGTGAAGCTCTTGCAAATCAAAAACGAATGCACGCGGCGCTAAGGCGAGAGCCACATGTTGAAAACGACCCGCCCTCAATCCGTGAAACTTTTGCAAGTTGTGGAGAAAAAAAACAAATGTGCGAAGCGCTCAGGCGAGAACCACATGTTGAGCACAACCTGCTCTCAATACGCAAAAACCTGCTAAGGCTTAAAAAACGGATGTAGGCGGCGCTAAGATGCGAGACACATACTTAAAAAACGGCCGCCCTCTATCCGCGAAGCTCTTGCATTTGTTAAACGAATGTGCATGGCGTTCAGGCGGGAACAACATTTTGAAAACGGGCCGCCCTCAAACCGTCAAACTCTTGCCAATTTCGAAACGACATGGCGCGGCGCTAAGCCGGGAGCCACAGTTTGAAAACCACCCGCCCTGCATCTGTGAAACCAGTACCAGTTTCTATGCTTCAGGCTCATAAGTGATACGACACTATCAGGCGAAACACCTGGCCCGCCCTTCCAACTGGCGTCGGGGTACGGCTGGGGGGAGTTACTCATGAGGGAAAAAGATGGAGGAGGAGGAGGAGGAGGAGGAGGACATGAGGGAAGGAAGCAAAAAGGAAGAGGGGAACGACAACGACGAGACTGTCCTTGTGACAGAGCTACACACCCCATGAAGGAGATAGCCCCTGATGGCAGAGACTGCCTTCCTCGCCCCCTGCCTGGTTGAGGAGGAGGAGGAGGACGACGACGACGACGACGACCAGTGCAAACCCAAGACCCACCAACGATAGCTAATGCAACACACCCTCCTTCCAATCTCCCGCTGGAAGGCACCCGTTTGAAAATCCAGAAAAGTGCCAGCCCCTGGGACATCAACGCCGCGAATGAAAGTTACTGTTGCGTCTTGAGGATCGTGCCAAAACACTCTGCCTGGGACTTCAACACCGCGGATCAACGTGACCGTTGCGCCCTGACATGCCGACATCGTACCAGAACAACAGTTCTGGACGCTAACCATGAAAATCTTTGAAACTGCGACAAAATACTTCAAACAAATATGCGCGGCGCTACTGCGAGAACCAACCTTTTGAAAACAACGACCTTCCATCCGTGAAACGGTTGCGGACTTCTAAGGCGAATGCACGCAGCGCTAAGATGAGAGCCACCTTTTGAAAACGGGCCGCCCTCAATTCACGAAGCGTATGCAAATTGTACATATAATAAAAATAATAATGTTTATATATATATATATATAAGAGGGAGAGAGAGAGAGAGAGAGAAAGAAAGAGAGAGAGAGAGACACAACACAACAAATAAGAAAATAAACGGATGTGCACGGCACTAAAGCGAGAACCACAAGTCGAAAGCAAACCGCCACCCATCCGTGAAAACGGTTGGGGACAATGCGTGTGGCGCTATCACATTTTGAAAATGGGCAGCCCTCCATCCGTGAAGCTCTTGCAAACATTTTGAAGCGAGTGCGCGCAGTGCTAAGGCGAGACCCACATTTTGGACAGGAACCACCCTCCATCGGCGAAACTCCTGCAAACCTTCTAAACGAGAGCGCGCGGCGCTGAAGCGACAACCACACGTTTAATACGGGCCGCCCTCCACCTGTGAAACTCTTGCAAATCCTAAGCTTCAAGATCACGAATGGCGAGGAAATATCAGGCGAAACGCCCGCCCCTCCCTTTCGACCGGCTTCGGGGCGCGACAGAAAAGGAGTTATGCATGAGGAGAAACGAATGGAGCAGGAGAGGATTCATGGCCGATGCTCTTATTTTCCGCCAGGGATTGATATCCACCTGCGCTTCTCAAGCGCATCCCCGAGAGGGGCAGGTAAAACGAGGGAAACGCCATCAGGAAAACAGCTGTTCCAACGAAGATTCCTGTCCAGTGCCTCGGCCAGCCTTCCAAAAGGGGGATCAAGGACGGAGGATAAAAGCTCGAGCCCCGCTCGGCGGAAGGGCAACGTCATGGCAAAGAGCCCACACGCAACCCCGCCCAGTAGGACTCGAAAGCATGGCCGATGCTGTCATCTCCCGCCAGGGTTTGATATCCATCTGCGTTTCACGAACGCATCCCCGAGAGGGGCAGGAGAAACGAAGGAAACGCCATCAGGATAACAGCTGTTCCAACATAGCTTCCGAAACCGTAAAACGGCCCTACACGTGTTCTAAAACTGCCCGGGACTCGTTACAGATGAGGCCGAAAACCTTCGACTACAATCGATAAGAAAGCATATCGAAAACAAGCCACTGACCCACGACAGAACTCACAGGGATAAACCTCAACCTGCTTGGAACCTATCGCCCGACCTGCCATCTCGAGCGACGTTTGCGGGGGCATCGACAGATTGCGTGCACCTTTCCCTGAACATCGAAACCCCAGCGGCTGCGGAACGATGTGACATCCGACAAATCTCGTGCATGTTCTCCACGCCGTGCCGAAAGCGCACATGTCAAAACAAACTCCTCTGTCACATCAGGGAGCCCCCAGGTCCGAACCATCTCAGGCTGCCCCCAGATAGGCGAGCTCGCTGGGTTCTCGACGACCAAAAAACATCCGCGCAAGCGGCACTCACGAAAAAAAACAACGGTAGCTGCAAACAGAGAGTTTCCAATATCGACTTGATGCTGATACGTCATATCAAGGCCAGGGAGGCATTCAGGGTGCTCGGGGGCCCCGAGAGTCGGGGGGCCGCCCGGGCGATTCCTCGCCAGGGATAACGAGCTGCACGGAGCCCCAAGGAAGACGGCCAACGCGATGCCAAACCGAATTCACCCCTGGATGAGTTTGATCAGGGGGGGCGCCAATCACATCATGAGAGGGCCCACGTCGAATGGCGACCTCAATAAAAAAAAAACCCGCCTCGCACTTACCGCCCCCAAGTGTCGGCGAGGCGACCCGATCCACGGAGAATCTCGAGGGGGGCGGGGCAATTGTGCGCCTTCACAAGCTGCGGGAGGCATCCGCGAGGGCGGCGCCGATGTCCGCGGCGGCCAGCTCGGCTGCGGACAGCGCGCAAAGGTCGAGGAGGCCGAACTGCTCGTTGGCGCGACCGCCGCGCACGCGGCGGGCAGGGCTGCGATCGCACCCCCGGCGCCCCCCCCCCTGGCGCCGAACAGGGACCGAGCCTTGAACAGCAGGTCGCGCGAGACGCCCCCGCGGCGAAGGCGACGCAGGCTGAACTCGCCGAGCAACGACAGGTTGCAGGCGAGGGCCGCGGCCTTCAAGGCGCGAGCCCACTGCGCCTGGCCGAACGGGAACGCCAGCGCGTCGCCGAGGATCTCGGCCCCGAGGGCCTCGAGCACCGCGCCGAAAGCCGCGGGGGGGCGGGTCGTCCGCGAGGAGGCTCTCGCCCACATTGCCCGTCTCGGACGTGTCCGCGCCCTCCTGCGGGCGAAAAAGGATCGACCGCAGCGCCCCCGCCTGTCGGCTGGCCGCCGCGAGAGGAGGCAGCGGCGGCGACGAGCTGGCCCTTCAGGCGGAGGCGCTCGCTCGGGCGACGGTAGGACGCGAAGGCGATGAGGCTCGCCAGGACCTCCAGGACCTGACCTGCGCCGATCGCGCGCCGCGCGCACAGGCGCGGGCCCGCCCAGGACATGGCGGGCGGCTCTGAGCCGGCACCGTGCGCTTCCAACCCGTCAGCGCCCGCGCGCTGCGAGGGCGCTCGAGGTTGGCCCCGAGCGGGAACGCCCAAAAATATCGGAGCCCCGCTATCAGCTTCGTCGGCACGCGCGCGAGCTCGCCCGCAAAGAACCGCTCGCGCACGTAGCTCATGGAGGCGAAGTCGATCGCGGGAGCCGACGTCAGGGACGCGACGAAGCCTCGCCCCATGCACCAGTCGTGGAAGGCGCCCACGCACGCGCGGCAATCCAGGGCGGCCTTCGGCGCCATGCCCTGCAGCTGGAGGAATGACGGACGCCCCGCAGCCATAGGGGCACCCACGGCCGCGGGGACATCCCGAGTCCGATAGGCCGCCCTCTGGTCCTGGGCGTCGGGCCCGCGGGGCGCCCACTCTCGGCGCGGCCTCGACCTGGGCGGCGCCGCCAGGTCAGGCGCAGCCGTCGCGCGCAGGGGGGGGCCCGCGCGCGAGCCCGGCGGGAACGGAACCAGCGCCCGGCACGCCGCCGCGCTCGGCGCCGCAGAAGCCGCCGCAGAGGGCCCTGAGCTCGGAAGGGCCGAGCGCAACAGCTGGATTCGGCGCAGCATCGAAACCAGAAGCGCCGACGCGACCTCGAGAAGCGGCATCGGCTGCGACGGACTCGGATAGGACCCACTTCCAGCCCACGTGACAGTTGGAGCCGAGGAGGGGGGCGGCGGCAACACCGGCGCATGCCAGGGCTAGACGAGCGACCCTTCGCGACGACAAAGATGGGGGCCGCGCTGTCATTCAGGATCAGATGCTTGCGGCCAATGTCCGAGGTGTTCCGAGCGACATCGTTCACCGCCAATACCACCTGAGCCTCCGTGCGGGACCACTTCTGGGACATCACGAGGGGCCAGTCGCCGCCGAACACCGACTCGGTGACCTCAGGACAAGGGGCCTCCGGAATCTCGGAGCCCTGCGGGGGGGCGGTCACGCCGCCGCTCACGGAGCACTTCAAGGCGGCTTCCCGTGGCTTGAACAGGGCCTCGCGGCCCGCGGAGTACCTCGCGCCGCCGGCCTCAGCAGGCCACAACGCGCAGATCGCAGAACCTGAAACGGCAGCGACCCCAGCCCTGGATGGGCCCATGGCCACGGGCCCGCCGCCGGCATTGGCCGACGCGGGCGGGCGCCCCACGGGCCCCAATGGGCCGACAGGTCCTGGCGAGGCCAAGGGTCCAGCGCCTGTCCTGGACCATGTGCTTCGCCGTCATGAACGCCGCATCTTCGTCCGTGCACTTCCGCTGAATGCAGGGGGTAGAACAGACGTAAGCAATCGTCTTAGAGGCGCTGCTCTTGCCGACTTCAGATTTGCCGCGCCGCAAAATCCCGCGCTGGTCGAGGCTGCCGAACATGTTCTGCAGCACGCCGCTTGAGAAACACCAAGAGAAATCCTTGAGTGCCAGGGTCCAACGGGCGATCGGCTTCGCATTGGACCTGCCCTTCTGGTGACTCCGCAACGCTGCCTCTACCTACGCGGAGGGCCAGCCGTGAATATTCGACCCCTTCTGTGTTCACCCACGCATCCGCCCACTCCATAAACTGATTCCTGTCGCTGGAGCGGGGGCCATGCTCGCGGATGAACATGTGTCCTTCGCTGCGTTCATCCTGCTCCAACGGCGTCTTCTTCTCGCGCTGCGGCTTCAACGTGCGGGGCCTGGCCTGGGAGCCCTCCAGCTCCTCCATCATGAGTTGGAAAGCTGCGGATCCATCCCTGCAGTTGCTACCGAAATCGACCCCGCGAGCCTCGGCGCTAGCAGTGGCCAGGATCGACGCGGCATCCACCCTGTTTTTTTGTTCGCACTCACCACCTTCAGGATGCACAATTTCGCGCGGTTATCGCCCCCCACGGGTCTTCACGCAAGATGAGCAATTGCATGGCGCAGGGGGTGACTGGCTCGCGCTTGAAAGCGAGGGGCGGCTGCAACTCTTTGAAGCGGCCCTGGCGACACAACTCATGCAACTGTGTAAAGTCAATGTCGCCCTCGTGGCTCATGATCACGTCCGCAAGCGCAAGGAGCTTCGCGGCGCTCCCGTTCGCGATCGGAACCAGGGGAAGGTCGAGAATCGCCAGGTCTCCTTCGACGGACAGCCTGTCCTTCTTCACAGCGTTGCGGGGATGGCACTCCATCTTGCTGCCACTCACCATCAGACTCGCTTCCTGGAATGCGGGTTCGGCACCCCCCGCCGCGCCGCGCGCGACCTCGCCCAGCGCGGGCGCGCGGGCGACGGGCGCACTCGCATGGCTGGCAGGAAGAGCACAAGGGAGCAGGCGGTAGAGCGGATCGACAGACGAGCCAGCGAGCCCAGAGCACACGCGAGCTGCGGGGGAAAGGCGTCGCCAGTGGCAAAACAGCAAAATGCGGTCGGCATCGCCACCCGCTGCTTCCCTCTTGCCCCCCCCCCCTTTCTCCTTCAAAGCAGGCGGGCATCCGCATTTTCGGATGCCCCCCTGGCTTAGCGCTGGCAATGCGCCCGTCGACTCGGCAACGGCGTAGCGGCCGCGCCCATGCACCGCGCGCATCTCTGCCGAGAGGTCTCAATGAGCTCACCCGCCCCTCCAAGCCTTCCCAAACCTTCCCGAGGCCATGGCCAAGGCTGAGGCTGAGGCCGAGGCAAATCTTCGGAAGCGGAGGCTGAGGCGGGGGCCGAGGCTGACGCTGGGGCCACGGCTGAGGCGGCGACTGAAACTGAGGCCGGCGCTAGGGTTGAGGCATCGGCTGAGGCTGAGGCAGATGCCAATGCTGCTCCCCAAGCCCTCCAAATCCACCCCAAACTCGCAAGTCCTCCCAAAGCGGCGGCGCCAGCGGCGGCGGCGGCAGCGGGCGCGGAGGGTTGCCTGGATGAGCATCATCGCGGAAGCTCTTCAGATGTCGTCTGTGCCCCAGGCGCGCTGGCAGGGTTGCTGGTACTATCATTCCCGGGCCCTGCATACGTGGCACGCGGCACGCAGTTCTCGACCGCCAGAACGCCCATGCGGAGCACAGGCTGAGGATGTCTCACGTCGAGAAAGAACCCAGCGATTGCACTGCCGACTGGCGCCCAGCGCAGAGGCTCGAGCATTCGCAAGCCCTCTGCGCGCGAGCGCCAGAAGAGCGCATGCTGCTAGGATGCCCACGTCTTAACGAGGCCCTTTGCACCTTTGCCGCGTCGGTGCCCGCCGCGGCAAGAATGCGATGAAGCTCCGTAGTAACAGAAGGGGGGGAAAGGAGGAGCAAGGAAGAGGAGCTGGGGTGGGGGTAGAAGCAAGGGTGATAGTAGGAGTCGGAGTAAGGAGTAGAGAGTAGGAGCCGGAAGAGAAGGAGGTGCCATAGGACCAAGGTAATGCACGGCCTATTTCTCTGCGCGTAACGCAGAAAGATCCCCCGCAAATGCTTCTGCCGACTAACGCCCAACGCAGAGAGCACGAACCGAAGCTCCCTGCGCGCGAACGTCGGGCGGGAGCGTTCAAGGAGATACCCGCGTCTCGGCAAAGATGCAATGGTGCCTTGGTTGGGAACGGTCGGGATCTAGAACTTTTGCATATGGGAGCTTATCATTAGTATAGATAGAGGGCTGCCGCCACCGTCGAACTTCAATCGCCGCAAAGGGCGCTCGGTGTTCGAGCGTACCCTACAGGGGGTGATCGGCGTGAGCTCGGAGAGCGATTTGGCCAGACCCGCGCGAGCAGCTCCCCATCGGGCGGTCCCCCCGAATGCCGATCAGGGTCGCCCCTTCGCAGTTTGGCGCGCCCAGCTGTTAATGGCACTCGTGGGCCGCTACCCCACAAGCAAGAGCAGTTTTCTGGCATGCTCAGGTCTAAAATCTACGATGGACTCACATCGACTTTCTGAAAGCAGCGGGCGCAACGCGAGTCTGCGGAGGACCCACTGCTGCTCGTCGGCGTCAGCGCGGTAGGCATCATCGCCGTTCCTTGCCCATCATCTTGGTTCCTTGCCCATCGTCGTTGTTCCTTGCCCCCGTGCTTGGTTTGAGCCTCGGTCGTGGCGCGGCGTGTTTGCGTTTGTTTTCTCTTGTGTACTCCTTGCCTCCATCCTCCTCCTGCTCCTTCTCCTGCTGTTTTTCCTCATCCGCTTTCTCCTATTCCTCCTCGTCCTCCTCCTCTTCTGCTTCGTCCTCCTCCTTTTCATCCTCCTCCTCCTTCCCCTCCTACTCTGTAGCCTCAGCCGCCCTCCTATTGCGAAAAACTTAGGGGAAAACAAAAAAACTATGTATGCTTAAATACACACATATATATATATTAGAACCATCGCGCGCACTTCGCGCGCGCGCTCAGGTTCTAGCAGGCCCCAGGCCTTGACGAATTCACTGCTCCACTGAAGTAGTGGACCACAGTCCACGCATACCAATCTGCATTCCGAGAGGCCTTCGAGGAGAATGGTTGTGTAAGGGGGCGGAGGCCGTATGAATCGGGTTCCCAGAAGGCCTTCTGGGAGCATGGGTTTGGGGCGTCTTTGGGAGCCTGTTGGGGCGTGCCGTCGTCGTCGTCGTCGTCGTCGTCGTCGTGGTCGTCATGTTGCTACGACACATTCCCGAACCTGACCTTGGGGGTGGCCTAACCTGGCGCAGCCCCGATTGGCAACAGACCCGACACGTTCCGTCCGAACTGAACGCCAGGTTCGCACTCGCCCAGCACGAAGGGACGGCAGCTGCGGTCGCCAGTTGTCTCGCGCCGAGTCCGTTGGTTTTACGTAAGAAATGGGCCGATGTTTGCCTCTTGAAGACCCTCTTGGGGCCCTCTTCGGCCATCTTGAAACCATCTCGGGCCCTCTTGGGCCTCGCTGAGGCTGTCCTGGGGCCCTCTAGGGCGTCCCGGAACCGGAAAGTCATGTTCCCGGAGAGGCTTCCGGGAACATGATTTCGAACGGGGCCCTCGTGGGCCTCCCTGAGGCCGTCTTGGGGACCTCCTGGGCCGGCTTCGGGGCCTCTTGGGCCGTCTCGGGGGGTTCGGTGAGCCCCACAGGCCGACCCTTTTGGGCCGTCTGGGGCCCTCTTGGGTCTCTCTTGGGCTGTCTTGGGGCTCCTCGGGGGCGTCTGGGGCACTGCGAAGACGAAGCCAGCAAGTATGCTGAAAATGCACGTTTTACAAAGGAAACGGGCCGATGTGTGCCTCTTGAAGGCCCTCTTCGGCCATCTTCAAGCCATCTCGGGCCCTCTGGGGCCTCGCTGAAGCCGTCCTGGGGCCCAATAGGGAGCGCTGGGACCCCGGAAACCATGTTCCCGGAGAGGCTTCCGGGAACATGATTTCGAACGGGGCCCTCTTGGGCCTCCCTGAGGCCGTGGGCCGGCTTCGGGGCCTCTTGGGCCGTCTCGGGGGGTTCGGTGAGCCCCACAGGCCGACCCTTTTGGGCCGTCTGGGGCCCTCTTGGGTCTCTCTTGGGCTGTCTTGGGGCTCCTCGGGGGCGTCTGGGGCACTGCGAAGACGAAGCCAGCAAGTATGCTGGAAATGCACGTTTTACAAACGAGATGGGCCGATGTGTGCCTCTTGAAGGCCCTCTCGGGGCCCTCTTCGGCCATCTTCAAGCCATCTCGGGCCCTCTGGGGCCTCGCTGAGGCTGTCTTGTGGGCCTCTTGGGCGTCCTCAGAACCCAGAAGTCATGTTCCCAGAGAGGCTTCCGGGAACATGATTTCGATCGAGGCCCTCTTGGGCCTCCCTGAGGCCGTCTTGGGGGCATCCTGGGCCAGCTTTGGGGCCTCTTGGGCCGTCTCGGGGGGTTCGGTGAGCCCCACAGGCCGACCCTTTTGGGCCGTGGGCCCTCCTGGGTCTCTCTTGGGCTGTCTTGGGGCTCCGCGGGGGCGAGTTGGGCACTGTGAAGACGAAGCCAGCGAGTATGCCGAACATGTACGTTTTACAAAAGAAATGTGCAGATGTGTGCCTCTTGAAGGTTCTCTTGGGGCCCTCAGGAGCCCTCTTGGGGCTCTCTTGGGGCCCTCAGGGGACCACTTGGGGCCTCTTGTGGCGTCTTCGGAGGCTTCTTGAGACTGAGGGCTCGAATTTTCGGCGAGGGGGCCACGATCCTCGTGAGGGGTGCAAAAAAAGGCCCGGGGGGGCCCCATGGCGACCAGAAGCAGCAGCCGGGCCTCCCCCCCGGCCTACTCCGATATATATATATATATATATATATATATATATATATATATATTCTCATACGCACCTCTCCGAGGGAGTAGAGCTCAGAGGCGATTAATGCGCACGCGTCCGCGATTTTTCTGGGCGTTTCGCTCGGGACATCCTCGAAATTCTGAAAATCGGTGGCACCCCTCACGCAGATCGTGACGTCAGGGTCCAAAAACACATGGGAATTTCAACATTTTAACATAAAACCTTCAAAAACACATGGTAATTTCAATAATTGTGACCCCGATTCTCAGGGAATGGCGGTTTCGCTTGAAAAATCCTTCCAAAATCGAGCCCCAGACCCCGCCTCGGAGCCTCCTGGGGGCCTCCTGGAACCTCCTGGGGCCTCCTGGGGCTTTCTGAACCTTCTGGCACCCCAGACCCCGCCTCGGAGCCTCCTGGGGGTCTCCTGAAACCTCCTGGGGCCTCCTGGGGCCTCCTGCGGCCTCCTGGAGCCTCTTGGGGCCTCCTGAAGCCTCCTGGGGTCTCCTGGGGCCTCCTGAGGCCGCCTGGGGCTTCCTGGGGCCTCCTGGGGCTTCAGAACTACATGCACACAGAGACACAAATCACGCCCAACACATCACACGCTAGACAAACATAACACACACACACACACACACACACACACACACACACACAACACCTACACACAAACAAACACACACACACACACACACACACACACACACACACACACACACACGCACAACACTCACAATCCTGGGGCCTCCTGGAGCCTCTTCTGGTATCCAAGTCGGGCCTCCTGAGGCTTCCTGGGGGGTCCTGGTACACACATCGCAAGGTGTGGCAACCCCACTTGCGCTCGAGTGCGACTTCGATGTTGCATTTCACTCCTGCTTCAAACGCCCCTTCAGTTTTTTGTATGAGCCTGGGCACACACGTGCCACTTGTGTATATATAAATACATACATACATATATGTGTATGTATGTATGTATGTATGTATGTATGTATGTATGTATGTATGTATGTATGTATGTATGTATGTATGTATGTATGTATGTATGTATGTATGTATGTATGTATGTATGTATGTATGTATGTATGTATGTATGTATAGTTTCG